CTGTTAAAAATTTCAACCTTAAATTATTTATCTGTCAAATCAGTTGAACCTACTTAACGACCTTGTGGTTATTAGATAGAAAAAAGCTTGTTTTAATCCTATTTTCATATGCTAAACCGATTTGTTTTTTTTAAAAATCACAAAATTCCGACAATGTTTTAAATATAAATTTATAATAATTGGCACATATTTATGGCCACACCCTCCAAATATTATCTCTTTGGTTTGCGAAAAATGCCGTCCATTGTGAACATTTTTATTTTTCTTATAGCTGATATCATGAAGATTTTTATGTCCCCTTCTCCAAATTGGGAGTGGGCTTCTTTAATCTCTTTTTGGCCGTTTGTTCATTGACCAGACAGACCGCTGTTTTTGCTACCCCTGAAAAATGTCACCTTATTACAGAGTTGTCTCCCTTTGTTCTATTTTATTGCCATATTTTTTGTTTGAGCTTATGGGAGGTGGGTTCATCCGCCGGTTTCAATGATATCTTGTATGACATACTTTTCCAGGTCATCTTCAGGTCACATTTAAAATAGAATTATATTACACTAGTAAAAATTTCCACTCAATGACACACGCACACACCGTTATCATTATATAATTTTCATACTTGCTTACTACGAATTTTTGATAGTTAAATGTCTTAAATCGTCTGAGGTAAGGTAACCATGCCATGTAAGGATGCATGTGTAGGTTTTTAAAATTATTTATTTTTCTACATCATTATTATTTTATTGTGATAACACACATAATTCGTACAGCCAATGAGAAATTAGCTTCAATGCAGGCATAATTATATAGACTGCTATTTGTTATCCTTTTGCCGACAGATAATATACGGGCTATTCGCCATCATTTACCCAGCTTCTGGCAGACAGACAATCCGACTTACTAAAGATCACAATATTTCATGAAATTATTATGAGATTATTTTCATAATCTAAGAATAAAGTATACTTGGTCTAAGTAAGCTTTCGTTATATATTTGGCTGTCTTTCTTATGTGATCAGTCATCAACACACGTACTTTTTCAGAAATGGTTATATTCATGTCCTGATCACAGTCAACATTAACAAATATATCGTTTCTTATGTGTCTATAAATATCACATGGTAAAAAAAAGTGAGTCTCATCCTCTACATCATTTCTGTAACAAAAACGACAAATTCTGTCTTCCACTGCCTCTCCAACGAAACGCCCAGTCTCAATACGTATAGGTAAAATGCCAAATCTGAACTGATATAAAAGTGACCGTTCATATTTTCTTGAATTAAGTGAAACATAATCTTCCTTATCAAAGGTATCTTTAAACAGTTTATATGCACGAAGCTTCCTAAATGATTGCAAATCGGTCTGTCATTTATCACGGTACAGGTCTCGTATTTTATCTCTAGCAGTAGACAGACTAACTGTTGTTAAATCTGTAAAGTGCTGTTCTAAATTAAGATCACTTAAAATCTTTTTTTATATTTGAAGACCAATTTTCACATGTATTGCATTTACCGTAGTCATATAAGAACACACTTTTTTTGGGTTAGTCTATCATCCGGCATTGATAACAACCTGTTCCAAAATCGTATTATAGGCAGTATATGTCTGAACACACTTGGTATCCATCCTGAATCTCCATACATTGCTACGAGTGGTGCAAATCTATGTGCACCAAAAAAGTATCTTAGCGCGCGGTGATAGACATTGTCAACACATTGGTACGATTTGAAGCCCTACGACGAGACGCAATACTCCACTATCGGACTCACACAACTGCCTACCAGTTTTTCAAATGTGTTACATGCAATAACAGTATCTTTCAGATTGTGAATTTTACAGATTATGCTCCCTAAAGCTCTTCCAACATTGTGATACTGATATTTGCAAAAATGGGAATATAACAAATTATTAGAGCCGTGTCACGACAAAACCAACATAATGGGTTCGCTATCAGTTTCTCTACTTGTTATAGAGTTTGTAAGCGAACAGCATGGATCCTGATCAGACTGCGCGGATGCGCAGGCTGGTTGGATCCATGCTGGTCGCAAACGCACTATGTTGGTTTTGTCGTGACACGGCTCATTTTATGTTTCATCATGTCAGTGTATTGATAATACCTAAGTGCATTTGTTAGTAAAGATAATACATGTAGCTCTATCAACAACTGAGCACACTTGACTTACATCTTTTTGCTATTTGGAGCACTCACATGAACATAAATGGCTCCACATGAGCGAAAAAAAAAATCAAGAAAATCAACCTTGATAAAAATGTACTAAGATTTTAAGAAAAGTGAAAATATTCACAATTAAAAAAAAGTTTTATGCAACTGCTGACTGAGTTTGCAGTATTGATCACCATGTTTCTACTGCGTGGCTGACGCAGTCAAGGCTTGTTTGCATATTCTGACTCTTTTGGGGGGAGAGAGGGGGGTAATTTTCGTAGATTTAAAGTGCCGTTTGCAATGTGTAATTACTTTCCTTGTTCACTTCACAATATTTACTTTTTAAAACATTTTTATAAATTTCATGAAAATCTTAGGCATGATGCTTTAAAAGCCCTTTATTTGCACATATACACTTTCACGTGGAAAGAGTTAATGTCTTACTTACAACAGACATGAAGTAATCTACTTTTTACCTTCAGTAAAACATAACCCGCAGTCTTCCAGATTGCGAATAGAATTATATATAGTTTACTCAGTTTAAAAAGGTTAAAAAAAGTTTATTTAAACTGCCATTGACTGCCCCGTTTACCCAATAAATGCGTCCCACTTAACTGAACACCTAAACATGTTTAACAGAGTCAATAACCTTCACTTGAAGTACAGTCTGTGGATTATTGTGTGACCTTAAAGCAATGGTTATCTACAATAATTTATAATTTAAATTTGATGCTTTTTAAGCTGTATCACGAGACGAAAGATTTATTTCTACTATATGATGGCGCGTACCATCCACCATACAGTAATCAATATTAAAATTTTATCGCTCGAATGAAAAAGATGCACATTTTATTGTGGATATTTTCACTATATGATTTCTTAAGGTATGATTTATTTTTTCTGATTAACTGATACAGGTAAATGCTGTATTTCTATTTAATGATATTCTGGTTAATACAACATTTATGAAAATACTTTTGCTGTGATTAGATCTACATGTAGTTATCATTAAATGTCACATCTGTTGTATATAAAACATGTTTAATTACATGTATATGGTCTTTAAAGTAGTAAATGATATTTAAACATATATTATATACATATTACAACAAAGTCTGTGTAACTTACAATTACACTGTCGTGAGCTGGAATACTAAGTACGAGTATATATATATCTGAAATATACACCCGCCTGTACATATAAACTGTGTAAACTGTTTTGTTTTCTGTTTCATTGATTTTTATAAAACGGGGAATATCCTAGTATTTTTGTGTTATTTTAATCCAAATGATTCTATATTAGCAATTTGACTGTGATATAATTGCAGGTATGTGAGTTTTAGTATGCGATCATCTGAAATATTTCCGATGAAAAAGTGCCATTTCTGTGATATATTTCCAATAAAAAAGTACAATTTTTGTGATACACGTATATCAATGCAAGAGAACCTTTTCTGTGATAAATTTCCGATTAAAGAGTACTGTAATATTTTGCCAATTAAAAGTGTACCATTTCCAATTAAGGTGTTTCATTTAAAATGATGTAGTTCAAAAGAAAGATCACCAGTTTTTTTGCGATATACCTGTATTTCCAATCTTTGTGATATATTTCAAATGAAAGTGTGCCATTTTTGTGATATAATTCCAATGAAAGTTTACATTTTCTGATATAAATTCTCAATGATAATGTATATTTTAAATGAAAGAGTTCATTTTTGTAATATATTTCCGGTGAAAGAGTACAATTTCATTGACATATTTAAAATGAAATAAAATAATTTCAATGATATATTTCAAATGAAAGTGTACACTTTTGTCAAATGAAAGTGTACCATTTCTGTCATATAATTCCAATGAAAGTGATAAATTTTCGGTGATTGTGTATATTTTCAATGAAAATGTTACATTTTTATGATATATTTTCAATGAAAGAGTACAAATTTTGTGATATATTGCACACTGAAAGTGTACCATTTCTTTGATATATTTCAAAATGAAAGTGTGCCATGATTTCCATGATTTATTTCCAATGAAAGAAATACCATTTATATGATTCATTTCCAATGAAACAGTACCTTTTCTTTCCAATAAAAGAATACAATTTCTATGATATATTTCCAATAAAGGTTTTAATGACATCCATTTTTGTGAAATATTTCCAATGGATGTTTTAATGACTTTCATTTTTTGTGATATACCCCCCTCAATTCGACGGAGCATTTTACAAAACTAAAATAGGGTCTCCTGTTGACACTTGTAACTTTAACATATTTGATATTTCACACAATCTTTTGAAAATATGGTCTTTTTAGATAATAATAACAATTTCATTTCAAAAGTAAATAGCATGCATATTCATTCATTATTTTTTCGTAAAAGAATTTTTCTGTGTTTCTGTTGCACAAGATTATTCTTCACAAAGTGTTTCAAATATGTTCCAGGAAAGAGGATTGTCACTTTGATGTCATTTGTCTTATAGACTCATTATCAGGCAGTTCTAGAACATGATCTTTCATCTGGCAACGACATTTAAACGAAGGAAGGGGTTTGTGATGACAAATCGGAATAAAAATGTTGCTTTAAATCTAGGTAAAAATATTTGTTTTAAAGATATTTAAAAAAAAAAAAAAAAAAAAACATTTTACAAGGTAATGTAAAAATAACTGTTTTGTCGAGAAATATGAAAACAGTATTTTCACTGTTCAATAGTTTGTAATTTAAGAGTTTTATCTCATTATAATTAAGCAGAAAAGGGCATTAACAGTGTCAGAACAAGCTTTTATTAAGAAATTTCATTTTTGGGTTGGGAATAATTGGTGGATAAAACTATCACTGACGTTATAAATAGTTTTTAGTGACCGGTTATATTCAAGGTTATATTTTGCGGCCTCTTGTGATAAGAATGGCCCGTACAATCAACCCTTTGCTTTATCGCATTTGAAAGAAGTTGATAATGTGGGACAAATGAAACTAATTCGGATATACGCATAAGGTTAGCATTGACATTAAATGATAAAAAGATGTAAATATGTAAAATATGTTTTTTTAACAAAATGAAATAAATGAACGCTTTCGAGATGTAATGTTTGATTTTAATGACTACGGAAACCAATATTGGACAAAAGTCTTATTTGAAGTAATTGATTAGTCTGCAGCATAAATTATGAACGGTAATTTTCTTCAATGTTAAAATAAAAGTCTAGCATTATTCTATATGTAAAACGGGTAGATTGTGTTGAGGTCAAAGGATATTCTAAATAAGTTGAATTTTATGCCAATTTATAGTACCTCTTTTGGATGTGAAACAGCAATTTTCTCAAATGGCAATGAATTAAGATCAAAGCTGAGTGTAATAAAACTGTTAAAGGATAATTGGGCGCGGTTGTTGTCATCAGACTATGAACTTTTGTTATTTTTAATAAATCATCAACATTAACTTCTGGCACTTTTCGTAATACAGTATTTCGAAATACAGTAACAAAGGAATTGCATTTAGAAGTCTGCGTTAAGTATTAAATATGTTATTCCATTTATGTCATTTTTGTTATTTCTAAAATTGTCATTGCTTGATATATGATGGATGAAATGTTAGGTGCATATTCAAAAAAAAGTAAGCAAGTCAAATTCGAGCTAAAGCAAATCAAGAAAAATAAACTGTATGTAAAGCCTATGATGTTTATTATAAATGCAAATTTCTTGACTTTAATTTTATTAGTTTAAGACAAACAGGCTAACATGGCGGATGATGATGTGCAGATCACACCCTCGCCTGGAGAGAAGCTGGCGTACAAATTCGTCTTGTCGGCCGTGTCAGCAATGGTTGCAGAATCTGGTGAGTTTGAATGTTCTTCATTTACAAATAGCTCTTGAAAGTCCGTACTATTTCGTAATTTTCCTATCTAGGCAATCGCATCTTCTGTCCAAAGTATTCCGATTGTCTATCTATATGTAGGTTCTCTTGAGGTGGTGTGTTTACCCTCGGGATAACCGCAGTAAGTTACTTTGAATACACCAAAGCACAGTTCAGCCATCGCATCCTTCTCTTTAGGATCTGCCGTAACTGCCTTTTAATCACCGTCAACATCAGTGATTACATTTTAAAAGCATGCTAACAACATTAGAAAAGCGCTCAATTGACAAGTTTATGTTAGTCTTGACATTACTTCAATTCATCCGATAAAAAAATTACCATATTCAAACCTTTAGCCTATTTCATATAATCTTTATTCAAGTACACGGAACAACCACTGTCGAATGCGTAAAAATCTTAATTCATTGACAGCAGAAACTAGGTTTTGCAATTGCCTTAATGCAAATGTTGTACTTACAAAAGATATAAGATATTAATCGTGTCATTTCCTTTTTACATGGTACATCTATTTTCAGATATAATGATAGTGATATAAAACTTAAAATGAATACACATTCACGTCTTATTCAACTTGCCTTATACTAGTAACCATGCAAAGCACATTTTATAAATATTTTAAATAATACACTAGTTTAAAAGTATTCATTTACACACCGACCTCATGACAGCATTTGTTGTATACATATACTAAACCACATTTGTTCTATTCACATACCAACTAAAGTCACTAAAACACGTCGAGATCTACCATGGTTAAACAAGTCCATAATTCGCAAAATTAGGAAACGTGATAGAACTTATACAAACATAAAATGATCAAAGTCCCCATCAAATGATTTGGTCAAAAAGCTCAAAGTACTTAAAAGTGAACTCCAAAGAGAAACAAGGAAAGCATACTGGCAATACCTAGACTCAGTCATTTTCAGCCAAGACTCCCAGAACGTGAAAAAATCCAAAAAAATCTACCAGTATGTTAAAAGTGACAAAACTGAAAGCTGTAGTGTGCACCCCTCAAATCAGAAGGTCAAACATTTACTGATCCAGTTGTAAAAGGAAATATCCTTAACTCCAAGTTTGAGTCTGTCTTCTCTCGGCCTCAGCCCCTTAGCTTATCCCAGGCTTGCAAACAGAAGCTTATTCCAAAACACCACCCATCTATGCCAGAAGTACCTATATAGGAAGATGGAGTTAAGGTATTAGCACCCTAATGCATTACCTCCGCTTTGAAGAGTATTCAAATAGGCTAGAACTACTGTTAACTACATTGAAAATGAGGGCCATGGGTTCAATCCCCAGAAGGGTCAACTTTTTTTTCTTTCTTTTTTTCTTTTAACATTATTTATGTATCTCTCATGTCCCATTTGGAAAGAAAAAAGTGTTTAATTTTGATTTTTCAATTTATATAGGTATTTATTGGCTAAATTATGCTAAATATAGTAATAAATATGGTACCTGATATTTTCAAAGTGTAATATAATCAAAACTTTTAAAAGGCCTAAACCCAAATAAAGCTTCTGGTCCTGACCAAATATCCCCTAGGTTACTAAAAGAGCTCCATCAGGAGGTTACTCCAATACTGACCTACATCTTCCAGATCTCACTAAAAACAGGTATTGTCTCAGAAGACTGGAAGCATGCAATAATTGCCCCAGTTTTCAAGAAAAAAGGCCCAAAATGCAAACCCAGCAATTATAGACCAATCTCCCTCACATGCATAGCGTCCAAATTGATGGAGCACATCTAAGTGTCCAATATTATGTCCTTTTATAATAAGCACAACATCCTTAGTCCCTATCAACATGGCTTCAGGTCAAAACGGAGTTGTGGGTCCCAGCTAGTAAGGTTCTCCAAGGAAATTCATGACAATCTTGAAAGTGGCCAGCAAACTGATGTCATAGTCATGGATTTCAGTAAGGCATTTGATAAGGTGGATCATCACAAACTTGTGAGTAAATTGGAAAGATTGGGAATAAGTCACGAGGTTACAAATTGGGTCCATTCCTTCCTTAAGTCACGCTCGCAGCAAGTTGTAGTTGAAGGTCAAAAATCAGGAATTCTACCAGTCCTCTCAGGTGTCCACCAAGGCGCGGTAAAAGGTCCCTGCCTTTTCCTTTCTTATATCAACGACCTCCCGGATAGTGTCAAAGGTAAGGTTAGACTCTTTGCAGATGATACTGTTGTCTACCTAACCATCAGATCTAAACAAGATGCCCAAACCTTCCAAGATGACCTTCCTGCTTTAGACATGTGGGAAAAAGACTGGTCCATTGAGTTCAACCCTGATAAATGTGAAGTTCTCAGGATAATAGGGAAAAGAAACCCTGTAATATCTCCTTACACCCTCCATAACATTCAACTAAACTCAACCCAAGAAGCAAAATACTTAGGAGTCACTATTAGTCAAGACCTTTCATGGACCAAACATATAAACAATATTACATATTAAGCGAATAACTCCCTTAGATTCATTAGAAGAAATGTTAAAACCCCAAATAAAAAGATAAAGGAAACTGCAAGACCTATGTTAGACCTCGGGTTGAATATTGCTTCATAGACTGGCATCCTTGGCAGAAATACTTAATTTATAAGATAGAGCAAGTCCAAAATATCAGCTAATAGATATGATTATAAAATATACAAGTAGTGTCTCAAAAATGATAAATGATCTTAATTGGCAAACCCTTGAACAACATCGAAACATCAGTGCTGTGACCTACTTGTATAAAATCCAAAACAACATTGTTTTTGTTGACCACCAACTCCTTACTCAAACAAGATATCTCTGAACTATCTGATACCATTCTCGAGGACACAATACCATCAAAATTCTTTCTTTCCTAGGAGCATACGTCTTTGGAATAGCCTTCCCCTAACTGTTCAGTCTAGCCCCAGTTTTAACATCTTTACTGAGAGGTTTGACCCATTGCACGCTATGTCTTCTAAATTAATAGTCTTCTTTTAACTTTTTAAATTTGCATATAAATAATTTGTTTTATTAACAGTTCCCTGATAACGCTCCTGCTAGTCATAATCAGAATTGATTGTTAAGCAGTAGTAGATGTACTATCTAATACTGTAATGCGCATGTCCATTATCTTCCCGCCACTTATATACGTGGAACATTCAGTGGTAATTAAACGATAGAACTAGCAACACGTGTGCACACTCTGTGTACATATTAATAAATAGACCCATAACACAACAGCATTGGACTTGGAACCGCCCCATAGACTAACCAATTATTGCGTTATTTTGGTTATAAACTTGATGCATGATTAGCTGGATAACTTTGCAAACAGCTATTTTTAGATACAACTGAAAGATTATCATTGTTAATAATTGTGTTTTGTATATGACAACAAAGATATTGACCACTATATAACATGTTATGAATTTATTTGTTTTTAAGTGACGTATCCTCTGGACCTCACGCGGACGAGACTTCAAATACAAGGGGAGGTAAATGTGACTGGAACAACAGTATCACATTCCAAGAGAGGAATGTTTAAAATAATGCAAGGCATCGGTAAGTTGAATGATGTAAGTTATTGGTAAGTTACAATCTGATTAAATTCAGCTCCTAATTAAAGCTACTTGCAAGAAATAACTTAAGTAGATCTGAACTTAGGTCAGATTGTGGTAAGTTAGATAATGCAAATTATTGGTAAAATAAATAATTCGATGCAGTAGTAAGTAAAATAATGTAAGACATTGCTAAATAAAATACTGCTAATTATTGATAAAATAGATAATTCAACGTAGTAGTCAGCAAAATAAAGTGTACAAATAATGCAAGACATTGGTAGGTGAAATAATACAAATTAAATGCAAATTATTAGTTAAATAAATAATTAAACGCAGTGGAAATGAAAATAATACGAGACATTGGTAAGCGAGGGTACAGCTGTGCGAGGTATCGGTGTGGGTTAAGGGGCGTGCTTAATGATTGAGTCTGGGAGCGGGATGCCGTGGATGCTGGAGGCCTGGGGGTCGCGAGCGTTGTGATAATCGAGTTGATGAGGTCATGTGGGGGGGGGTGGGGGAGGGGGCTTGTACGGTTTGGGGGGTTGGGGGCGGTTGGGGTGGAGTGGGGTGGTGGGTGTGTGTGGGTAGGTGGGGGGGGTTTGATGGGGGTGGGGTGAGTGGGAGTGGGGGGTGTCTAGGGGTGGGGGGGCGGGGGTGGGTGTGGGAGGGGATGGTGATGGGGGGTGTTGAGGGCGTTTGTTTTGGGGTGGGTGTGGGTTTTGGGGGGGGTGGGTGGTGGGTGGGGTTGGGTGGGGCGGGTGGGGGGGTGGGGGGGGGTGGCTCGTGGGGATGGTGATGTGGGGGGTGTGGTGTATTGTACTCTTTTATTTTTAGTTCTGCTTCAAGAGAAAATAATATGTAATTGAAAAATAAATTAAATGGTGGAAATCTATTGAAGTGAAGATTTCTATTATTGGAAAAAAACATAATAAACATGAAAATAAATTTAGAAACTTATTAATCAAACAGCATCGGCTCTTAAATCAACCAAGAAACAATGTGTTATGGTATAAAGGCGTCAATAATTATTTAAAGACAACAGGGTTTACTATCAAATTTAACTCCCCAAATTTTTAATTTTTTTGAAAAAAAAAAAGTTTCTTGGCCATATCAAAGCCACGTTGAGAAGAAACAATGACAAATATTGGTAATACAAAATTATAATGAATAGATGACAAGAAATTAATCATTCTCTGCTTGGAAATTTTGATTACAATTGTGAGAAGAAAAACTAGAAAAGGAAAAAAAGAAAACTCAAGAGACATAAATGGCTGCACGCTATTCAAATTTCTTCGTGACTACGTATATTAAAGAAAAAAATCATTGTCACTTTGCATGAGGTTAATCGGATCATGTCAATAACGTAAATGCATATTTTCACGAAAACATCTCATTCTAACTTTTGCATTCTCACATCCCTTCCCCTTTAAACGTCCACTTTATGATTTAGAAGAAGCTGCTTTTGAATCCTCTTATAAGAATCTTAACAAATCCAATATTTATACTGACAATGAGCAAATATCTTGCTTAAACACGCATCAACATAGGGGCTTTCTCCTTTCACAGATTGTGTGCCAATATACGAATAAACATAGCCATATCCAACCGACTACATTATCCCATGCCTGCATTGCTACAAGATTGAACGAAAGTTAAGAGAAAGTTTATTTTATTTATTAACGTAAAAACGTGACGCTTGAATGCTAATTGAATTTATGTTACGAAGTCAGTGGAAAGGAATTTTTGAATAATAGTTTTGTGCCACATCTATATAGAAAGAAGCTATGCAAAATTTGATTTCATCAAACAAAACTGACTACTTGCAAAAATATTAAATTATAAGTCAATTATTTTATATTCATAACAGAATAAACATATAAATACTTTTTTTTATTTTGAAACAGATTTATTTGAGATAAGGCTACGATTGCCGACAAAAATAATAGACCGGCGCCCTCTTGCATATTACAAGAAAGACGACTAGTTACATTGAAATAATTTTCATTCTAGGATCTAAGTTTGATTTCGCTAAGAATCGCACACTCATACGGACTACGCTAACGAAAATTAATATTCCGGAAGAATGGGAATGTTTTTCAGCGTATTTACATCCGATGACAAGGGATTAAATTGATAAGTGGTTTTAATAAAGGATTCAGAGTGTTCCGTCTTTTCCGACTTAGGCTAGTTTTTTGTTATGTTTTATTTCTATTTGTAAATGTTTCCCTTAAATATGCAAAGGATTTACAATAATAATACAAATGAGCCAGATGTCATTAATGTGAATCCAATGTCGGTGATCATTTTCATAAACATGACATTATTTGTTTTTTTCACTTCAAAACAGTTCTGCTTTCGACTGTAAAAATGTCTGTCTGCCACCACAACTGATGTCATCTGAAGAGACTTTGTTTGAATCGCAATCGCTCTTCAATAACTGTAATTTACAAACTTTTTATTGAATTGAGGATTTTCCATTGAGTTGGTAGTGAATTTTTCACATATTTTGCTAATCCTTAACAGTTTTTAGTTATTAAAATATGAAAATAAATGCCTGCAAATTAGATTTGTATGCGTACTTTAAGTGTTGTTTTATAAGCGCATAACCTACAGATAAACTTTGCTCGTCTTTGTGAACAGTCCATGTGTTGCATAAATTCATTAAAATCGTGGAAATCCTAACCGATATGTCTTCAATTTAAATAAAAGAGTTGAGAATCTGCATTTCCTATTATTACTTCAAGTTCTTTTAAATAAATGCCAGTTTGTTTAATGACACTTTGTATTCATACTCTGCTTACCTAAGTTCGTAGAATTTCAAACGTAACATATCTTTTTGTCTGTACTTTGAATGTGTTTATTTTACATTAAAAGAGATTGTGTAGAAGTTATCAGAATATTCAAATATTGAATTTTAGTATAAATATATATCTATAGTACAATATATCGAAATTAGTATGCTTTTTCTTATAGTTCGTATAATCTGTTTTTAATCAAGTTAAATAATTAATGGCTTGTCAGCTATTTGTCGGGTGTTTCATGTTGTGTGGTATCTACAGTAAGTTTTTCCGGTTTAACATAACATGCTTTTACTTCCGTCTAGTCCTTTAGAATTATTGATTTTAATTTTAGATTTTACTTAAGTCAGTTGTACAGGATGATAGTGATTCTTAACAATTGATTTACTGAGAATTGGCCCATATATTCAAAGTTCAACCGATTTATTAATTAAAATACCATTTAATTTATTTGTACTTTTCACTAGGTTTCGTCACATTCAAGTCATCAACCTTTCTACCGAGTATTAACGAACAAAACTTATAATTTTTTATCCGTAACAGCATTAAGTTCCTGCATTTAATTATACCGTTGATATACTTTTGGAACATTTTATCCCATTTTATATATTAAATGTAATTGATAAACAATAGATTGACATATTACCAAACAAATCGCTTTCTTTTTGATTATATAAGTGATGTGCGGTGAATATAAAAAATCATTCTAATTGATATGGATGCAAAAGGCTTATTTTGTTTTCTGAGAATCCTTTTTCCTGGATGTTTTAAATTTGTGACTACAGTTGATTCGAACTGTTTGGCAACAGTGAACAATGTAACCCCAAACTGCACCTCAGTGTTGTTTTTACACCTTGTCCATCTGAATACGTTTAATTATACTACTAAATACCGCTTATACCAGGTGTTAAGGGCGTACGATATAATGTACTTTCCATTTGTACGAGATTGATTTCATCTGAGTTCCCTATTTAAGAACAACAATAACTAGCCTCTTCAATAAAGAATGTGCAAAGATCTTTTTCTCCACATAAAGATAAACATTGATATTTGGCAAATTATTTAATTGAGAATGTTTCAACACAATTTATAAGAGAGACTTGCGGCTGAGTAAATATTTGTTTTATTGAACATTGTGTTGATTTATAATAATGATGTCTGTGTCGATTCTTTATCAAGACATTGTTGTTTTTCTTCAGGTTCTGAAGCTGATCATACTGAGCTAAATGTTAACGCTCGATTTGAAATAATTTGACGCTATATTAAGATATTAAAAATTTGCATAATTATGACTAATTGATAAAAAAGTATACACACTTATTTAGCGAGTAAAACTATATCCTTTATAACAGTTTATTTCATTTTGTCAATAGATATAGAGCGGGAAAAGACATTATAAACACTACATATGGGAATACCCAGTTATTAATAATGTCGATGACGTATAATTGACAATGCTATGTTACTTGTATACAAGAAATTACAACACATTATATGTAATACAACACATAATTTATAACATGAAGACAATTATTGTACCGAAAGAACATAAAAAGATATTGACTTGTTTTGTTTTCTTCTGTTTTTCTCTTGTGTACGGAAGCCTCTTGATGTATCTTACACCTACGTAAGAGATATGAGTTTATATCCTGACGTAGGGACTTCATTACTCCTACGAAGGGAGTAAAAACAATAACGACTTTGGAACTCCTACACAGGGGTCTAGAGTTAAGAGTCTACAACACATTCGTAGGATAATGGAACGCCTAATTAGGACATTATAAATCCTACGTTGAAAATTCTAATATGTTTTATAACTTCTATTTCGGGCGTAATATCCCCTACGCACGACTAAATAAGTAGGAGCTAAAAAGTGTAATAATGAGTTTGTTCTCTGTGAAGGAGATAAGGTAGTGCTGAGCAACATTGAGAAGTACGGTACTTCTGAATGTTTAAAGACATACAAATGCAAATTTTCTGTTTGGATATACAAATTACAGATTGCGGCGTATTTTGTTCTGTCTTTTTCTTTAAATAAACTGATATTTCACTTATTTTAAGCATACTACTTTGCAGTTTTTAGATACTTTAATATCGTTATAATTAAAAAAATATTAAGGAAAAGACAAATATATTTTAGACATTTTTGAGGAATACATTTTAACATAATGTTTATTTCTTTTTATGACTTGGTTGTTACGGATTATTACATGCACT